ATGACCATGGGAATCCCTGCAGACACCTTCTCCTCCTTCTTTGTGGTTCTGGGGGCCATTCTGTGCCCCTAAGGTCCTCCTTTTTTCTCACCAATACATGTATTTTCTGTCCTTCATAACTCTATTAAACCTCATATTTGATGGTTGTTTTCTTAAGCTTCCTTTACTTGGCTCCTGCATTATTTATTCCTTCCCAATACAATCCATAGTAATGACATTCCTATTACATTCCTCTCCATGCTTAGTCATGAATGTTCTTTTGCCATATCAGCATCTACCGTACGTTGAGAGGAAAGAGAGAAAAACGTGTCCTTGTCTTCAAAGGAGTTTGAAAATTTCTTGAGAGGGAAGTCTAACATCATGAAGCAATAAAGGGGGCAATTAATGGCAAATTGTGTAGCACTGACAAGATGCTGTGCATAGGGGGGCCTGCAGTATAGTGGAAAAGAAAAAACATTTTGGCATCTAAATCTGAATTTAAACTTTTTTTCCTCTTACTAACTGTACAACCTTGGGCAGGTAACTTAATCCAAGATAATAATGGGAGAAAAAGCACAATTTCTACTTTACCTGATTGCTGTGGAGTCTAAGGAGGAAAAATATGTGATGCATGTGGCACAGTGCAAGGCCCAGAGATCTTTGCTGCTATTGTGCCTCTAGTTAAATCACAGGTCCCCCAAAACCAAGAGCCCCCAAATTTTGTCCAATTCTTGTTACGATTGGATGTGACATGGGGATCCTGATTAAAAGGAAAATGGCTGCTGATCAAGAAAAATGTTAAAGGCACTGGTGGAACAGGAATAATACAAGGTGGTTGCAGGAGAATAGAGAATTCCAACTGGGTGCAGTGGTTTATGCCTGTAATCCCAGCACTGGGAAACTGAGGCAGGCAGTTCATTGGAGCTCAGAAATTTGAGACTAGCCGGGACAACAATGCAAAACCCCATCTCTACCAAAAATACAAAACTTAACCGGGTGTAGTGGGCATGTACCTGTAGTCCCAGATACTCAGGATGCTGAGGTGGGAGGATGACTTAAGTTTGGGAGTTCGAGGCTGCATTGAGGTGTGGACCTAGCTGGGTAAGACTGACTGAACCTAATATGGCACTGGATTTGACGTAGGTTTCACCTAGGATCTCATTATATGTTCATTCACATACTAAATCACACACACCAGTACCACGACAGTTCCGGGAACATCCATATTTGGTGTAAAAATGGGTGGCACCACAGTTCCAGGAAACCTCCACCTTCTTCAAGGAATTTTCATGAATATTCTACCCCTTGGTAAAAGAAACCCATAAAGGTAGCAGCTCCAAAGGCCCTTGGGCGTGACTCTCTCTTGAGTATGCCCACACTCCCTTTATTGAGTATGTACTTTTCCCTTTGCAATAAATCTCTATACTTTCATTGTATTTCCATTGGTCCTTGAATTCATTCTTGCAGTGGTCTCAAGAGCCTGGACAGCAGCCGGGGTTGAGGTCCCACTGGTGTTTGAGGACCTCCAAGTGATACCCAAGTAGTGATACCTGCCCACTGGTATCACTGAGACATCCCATTAGCCTACGAAAGTTTTCTGCCATGTGACTCCTGAAAACACACCTTAGGTATTGACTCCTTTGATCTAAGCACTTGCCTCTTTTTGAGGGTCTTCTCTTCAAATGTGCATGAATGAGAGACTCTTCTGTTCACAGTATAGTTGGATCTGTTCACAGCCTGAGGCTTGTTCCTGCAAAGTACTGGAAGAGGAAGATGGGAGTAGGAGGATCCAGAAAAGCAAGGAAAAGAAAGTCACCCCTGGTGAAAACAGTCCATCTCTTCTTAATTCACAAATTTTGTTCAAAACTATCCCAGCATATATGAATTTTTCAGAGAACCACATGTGCTGCTTTATGCCTTTTTAATAGGGTGAGCAAGAAAAGAAATACTTAACTACATTTGGGGGTGTGGATGCTTTAATACAGGAATATTTATTGTTTAAAATAATTTGTTTCCTTAGAAAAGGTTTAGTAGTTTTTCTGAGTTTCAGAAATGTCAGCCTTGCTCAAATGGAATCCGTAATTGAGACATGACACAATCACTCCCAAATGTTTACTGGGAGTTTGCCTCAGAAAATAACTGCCTAATATCACTTCAAGATGTGCAAACAATGCAAAGCAAATTGGGTTTCCTCCCGATGAAGATGTGTATGTAATGCAGCATGAAGAATGATGGGGCTCAATCTGGTGTAAAAGCAGCACCAGCAAAAGGGCCTGGTGATTTGTTACGAGGCAAAAATCCTGTCTATCCTGATGATTAAATTAAAACGAGGTCCTACATTGTCACTGTTGGTAAAATGACTTATCTGCTTGCTCCTATCCTTCTCTGCACAGTGCTAATGTGTGGGATGGACATGGAATGAGGTGCTTGAAAAGAAAGACATGAGCAAATGTTTCTCCTGTCATTGAAGTTTCATTGCTAATCTTTCAACAACATGGAATGCTCATGGAATCCTCCTGTTGGAGCCAAAAGCCCAATTATCATCTCTGGAAAACTGGAATAAAAGAAGAGTTCAAATCACAAGGCTCTTCCAAACCTACCCTCTCTCCCTTGCTTGTGCTCTCTTCTTTCAAATTATTTATCTTCATCAACACTTAATGCTGGAGGCAAGAGGGTTCTTGGCTTGGCAAGAACAATGCTATGGGACCTTAAAAAACAATGCTATGGGACCTTAAAAACAAATGGACTAGCTGCAGGTTTAAATAATGCTACAGTCCTCAGACGCTGTATATTATTCATAGATCTTTCAGCTCTATTATCTCATGTGTTCCTCTCAGTGGCTCTGTGAATTACCCAGGACAGGAAAGAAATGATAGAATGTGAAGATAGAAGAGTCAGTAGAGGTCAGAACCCTTCCCCAGCCCCTCAAC